GCGCGACATGCGCGGCCGACGCTGGCCAGTAAGGCGCCCGCGATGACACCGACCAAGCCAAGTGCGCCACTTCCCCCAGAGGTGCCTGCCACGGCGCTCGCGGAGGACGCTCGGCCGTTCGCCGAGCTCGACGAGGAGATTGCGAACCTCGCGCGGATTCGGCGCCATGCGGATCGGGCGTCAGAACAGGCACTCCGTCGCACCCTCCTCGGCGCCGGCCCGACGGGCCCCGAGCTCCGCGCAGGATTTACACTCGAAGCGCGGAGAATCCACGGCTGGGCAAATGATGCGAGGCCCACGCACGCAAGCGTCCAGTTGAGCATCGCGCTCGCGATGTTCGCGACGAAGCTCCACCGCCTCCAGAGTTCGTGGAGCCCGCAGCAGCGAGACGAACGCAGGCGTCGCTGGACGCTGATGACTGCGGGGTCCTGGACCGGAATCGGCCAGCATCCGTTGGCTGATCCCGACGGCACATCGATCGTCGCCCCTTTGTCCAGGAGCCGTCCGCCTGGCCATGGGCGGCCGGCTGGGCTGTGGCTGTCACCGCGCGCAGCGCGCCCCCCTTGGCCCTCGGGCGAGCGCGCGCCGCGCGCTCCACCTCGTCGCCGCCGCGTGCCAGGAGGTCGTCCGCAGTCGCCATTTGATGAGGCTGTATGCGACGAGGCCAGCACCGCTCACGGTTCGAACTGGAGACCGACGTCGTTTCGCCCGTCGACTCCATGCTCGCTTTGGACACGGACGGGGGCCATAGCGCACATCGGCCCTCGAGGGCACGCCGCGGCGATAACGGGCAAGGGCGCGGGCGAGAGCAAGGGCGCCAGCGAGTCCGCGCTGGGCGACGCCGCCGACCTTCCCAAGAAAGAGAAGAAGAATAAGAAGACCCGCAGGGCTGGGGCGACGGTCGAGCGCCAGTGCGCCAGCGCGGCCCTCCGCGCGGCCAGCGCCGACAGCTGCCGCCCTCGCCCAGGGGCGACGCCGAGCCCGGCGCGCCCGCCGAGGAGGTAGCCCGCAGCAGTCGCGATCGGAGCGCGCCTCACGAATCGCGAGGCGATCGTGCTAGAATACTGAGTACATGTTTCATGGTCTGTCTCCATCCTTTACAAACTCTCCCATCTGCCTTGCCAAGGCACTGCGCCCCCACTTCGCCCTTGCCGCTCGCGCGGCCCTGGGGCCGTCGCCTTAATTGATTTGCAGGGCAGGTTTTCAGACATCACGCGCGCGGTGCAAGGCCGCCAGCACCACGCAAAGCAGCGCATGGCATAAGTCACGCCATCAGCACTCACGCGCGGGAGCCCCCCCAACGCCGCCTTTCCGAGCGCTCGAGCGAGCTCGCCTGCACGGCGGATGAGTTAAGCGCCCCCGTTCTTGCCTTGTTCCGCCGGCCCCGTTCGCGCGGCCCAGTTCCGCCGTCGCGAGCGGGCGCGCTCTCGCCGCCCGGCGCGGCGGAGACGGGCTTCGGCGGAACCGGCCTTTAGCGGAACTGGTGCGCGGCGGAGCCGGTCCTCGGCGGAAGTGGCCTTCGCCGGAATTGCCTTCGGCGGAACCCGCTGCGTTTCCTGCCGCCCGACCCGGCCGCCCGGTAGGGCCCGCCTGCCCGACCCGCCGCCCGCCCGTTCGGGCGACGCGAGTGTTGCCTCGATAATGCGTCATCTCTCAGTGCCCCGCCCGCCCGACCCGCCGCCCGCCCGCCCGCTGGGGCCCCGCCCGCCGCGCGACCCGCCCGCCCGTTAGGGCCCGACCGCTCGTTAGAACGACGCGCGCGTTACCTCGATTATGCGTCATACTTCAATGTCCCCCCCGCCCGACCCGCCGCCCGCCCGCCCGCCCGGGGCCCGCCCGCCGCCCGACCCGCCCGCCTGTCAGGGCCCGCCCGCCCGACCCGCCGCCCGACCGTAGCGGCGTCGCGCGCGCTACCTCGATCAGGGGCCACACTTTAAAGTCCCGTCTGCGCGACCGAGTTGCCGCCCGCCCACCTGTCGGGGCCCCGCCCGCCGCCCGACCCGCCCGCCCGATAGGGCCCGCCCGCGCCCCGGAGCAAGCCCGCTAGGGCGTCGCGCGCGCTACCTTGATAACGCGTCACACTTCAATGTCCCGCCCGCCCGACTTGCCGCCCGACCCGCCCGTCGGGGCGCCGCCCGCCGCCCGACCCGCCCGCCCGCCAGGCCCCCCCCGCCCGACCCGCCGCCCGCCCGTTGAAATGACACGCGCGCCCCTTCGACTGCGCGTCATATGCTCATGTCCCGCCCGCCGAGCCCGCCGCCCGCGCGCCCGCCAGGGCCCTGCCCGCCGCCCGGCCCGCGCCGCCCGCGAGGGTTCGCGCGTGCTGAGATGAACACGCATCTCACGTTAACGTTGCCGTCCGCCCGATGGACCCGCCGCCCGCCCGCCCATCAGGGCCCCGCCCGCCCCCGACCCGCCCGCCCGACCCGCGCCGCCCGTTAGGGCGCGCGCGCGCGCGCGTTCACATGAATGCGCTTCGCGCATTGATGTCCCGCCCGCGCGATCGACCCGCCCGCTCGCGCGCCCGCTAGGGCCCGCCCGCCGCCCGACCCGCCCGCCTGCCATGGCCCGCCCGCCAGGCCCGCCCCGCCCGCCCGCCAGGGCCCTCCCGCCAGACGCACCCCGAGGGCGCGCACTGCGGCGACGGGGAAGAGGCGGAGGAGGGCGAAGCAAGGGGGGGGAGAGGAGGAGCTTCTCTATTTCATTACGTTATTTGTTGGTTCTCTCTCTCTTTCTCTCTCTCTCTCTCTCTCTCTATTTCTCTCTCTCTCTCTCTCTCTCTGTCTCTCTGTCTCTCTCTCTCTCTCTCTCTCTTTCTCTCTCTCCTTCTCTCTCTCTCTCTCTCTCTCTTTCTCTCTTTCTCTCTTTCGCTCCGTCCTTTTCAACGAAGCGGCGAAGAACCGCGGCACTTTTCATATTCCTGCCGTTCTTGTCTAAACGTGTTTGCTCGTGCCCCGCAAGTCTTGGCCGTCGCAGCGCCGCCGCCATTGCCCTTGCCCAAGCACCCGAAGCGGGCGCCACCGGAGACCTGCGCGCTGCAGGCTGCGCATTCCATCCCCGACCTCCTCTCAGGACTGAACGCGCTCGGGCCCGCGGTCGAAGTTGCCCGCCGGTGTATCAATCAGAGCCATATGACATATTACTTTGAGCTTGTCCTTATCATCGTCTTCTGTCTAGGATTGCTGATCGGGCGCTCGCCCAGCTTCTGCCGCCGTGTCTCATCTCAGAGCTGGACGCCGTGCGGCCGCGCAGTGGCACTCGACAGGACCGCGGGGGGCCTGGATCCTGATCGCGCCCTGCGGCGCCGACGAGGCGAAGGCCGAGGGCGACGTCGTCGCCGCAGCAGCTCAGGAGAGAGCGAGAGTGATCAGGTACGCGCTGACTCCCGACCTGGACATCTACCCCCACGTCCTCGAGATCGGGCCAAGCTTGCTGACTGGGGTCGTGGCCTTCGACAACGAGGGCGGGGTGATCGCCGGCAGCAATCAGGGGGGAAATGGTATGCTCGGAGCGCGGCATGCGGCGACGAGCGGGGCCCGACTCCACTCGAAGCGATGGGGGCTCTGGAGTTCGTTCAAGCTCCTCCTGGGTCGGTGAACCAGCCAGTGACGGCCGACAGGGGCCAGCGAGTGCGAGGCAAGCAGCCAGTCGCGCTCGCGGCTGGGACAGCAGTTCCACCGTGTGACTTCAAGACGGGCGCCGACGAGCTTCCAGGCCCAGGCCCCTTGGAATGGCACGACCTGGCCTCTACGGGCGACAGCGCAGACAAGCGGAAGTTAGCGCAATCAAGGTCGACTCGTTCGTGCGGATGGGTGGGCATGTCCTAGCTAGACGCGGGGGGGTGCTGATCATCGCAGTGGCAGTGGATCCCTCAGCGCCAGGCTCCGACGTCGAGCTCGACGCCAGGCTGCTGCTCCTCGTGCTCAGCTCCCAGCAAGTGCGACATCTGCCTTTCTCCAAGGGCGTGAGCCAGCTCGCGGAGCCCCCATGGCCTGGGTGGCCCATCATGGGCCCTCGGACGTTGCAGCGGCGTGTAGACTTCTTGTCGCAGCAGGATCAGCATCCTCGAGCACGTCATACCAGGTGGGTGCACGAAGCCCATGTAGAGCCTTGGGACGAGGGCGCGCAGGGCCATGACCTGGCGATGAGGATGTTCGAGATGGGTATCGTGCCAAATCGAGCGGACATATCCGAGCACGTGGCCTACGAGGAGCTGGCCCGCCGTGCACAGATGGCGGAGTGGCGGCATCGGGATCGAGTGCTCGGTCGGTCGAAGGATGAGCTGTTCGACGATCAGTTCCTCTATATGTGCACGGGGAGACCAGAGGCTTGCTGATGGCCCCCCCAAGATTCAGGAGCACACATCAGAGCTCCACCGCGAGGCCGCCATCCTCAAGGAGAAGAGGAAGGTGCGCGAGGAGAGGGCTCTCGCCCGCGGAGGGGGAGGCGGCGGCGGCGGTGGAGGAGGCGCTGCAGCACCCAGCAAGATGGAGTTGCTGAAGAAGGCGCAGCAGCGGGCGGCCGAGCTCAAGCGGCTGCAAGGCGCGGCGGCTGAAGGGAAGGCCGACGGCAAGGGCAGCTACTCTTCCGGCCGTGGGGCGGCCAGGGCGGGCAAGTAACCTCTCGTGCCCGTGCCGCGGGAGTTGCCCCCTGTGGGCGGCGCCCGCGGCGCCCCGGCCGCCCCCGCGGGGGCGGCTTGCTGCCGCGCCCTTCGGTCTCGAGCTCGACGGCGTTGCCGCATCGACAACTGGGCGCGCGAGGCCCCCGAAAGCCTCAACCTTTCGGCGAGCGCCCAGGCTCCAGAGTCAGAGTCAGGTGTCTCAGCGGCGCAGTCAGAGGGCCTGCGTCGTCTTCGCGTGCAAATATCAGCAGCGCGGGGTCTCCCTCATGCAGCGCCGCGGAAGCCCATCGGGAGCTTTGCGGTGTCGCGCCCAGCTACGACATGGAGTCGGTGCATCGAGCTGCGCATCAACGAGAGCGCGCCCCTCCACCGCCCCCAGGCGCGCGCTGCAAGCCAGACGCCGTGCTCAAGGCAGTCGCGCTTGATCAATGGGTACACTGGCAGCAGCGCATCCTGCGTCAACACCCCGCCGACGTGGACGACATCAGGTCCTCCTCCGACCAGGCCCTGGTTCGGGATCGCGCCGGGTATGCCGCCTTCATCGCCGCTCTACATCGCTGGGGCTTGGTCACGCTTGGCAAGAGGCGCATCCGCACTGCGGGGGTATTTTTCGTTTGGAAGTCTGACAAAGAGCGGCTCGTAATGATTTTGAAAACCCCACGGGTGAACTCACGGTTTGTCGAGCCAGCGCGCACCCAGTTGGTTACCGCGTCTGTTTGGAGCATCATTAAGGTCGGCGGCGGCGCCGAGCTCAACCATGCCCAGGCCGACATGGACAACGCTTTCTACTGGATCGAGTCGGTCCTGGGCATGTGCGACCACGTCGCGCTGCCGGCCGTGCACAGGGAGTCTTTGATCCAGGCGCTGGGCGTGGACGGCTGGGACCTTCCAGCTGGCGCTCTGATATCCCCTCTTTTGACGGTTCCCCCAATGGGTTTTTCCCTTCTCACTTCATTTTTGTCATTGTCTCCTGGATCAATGCGCACTTGATGCTGGTTACCCCGGGGAGTCGTTCATCCGCGACCGCCACCTGGCTCTAAGCCTGCACAGAGTATCGATGGGCATCGGAATTTATGTGGCTAACGTTGCGGTCGTGAGTCAGGACTCTTCTCTTGCTGTCGCTGCCTGTGAGCAGATCGTCAATACAATGGGGAGCGTCGGCCACGTTTGTATAGGCGCCAGCCAGCCCTGCGACGAGCAGGTGTTCACAGGTATGGTTTTGAGAAGAAGACTGCTACGATCAGAATGTCGGCATCTCGAAATTGGAAGACCCGTCTGGCCCTGCTCATGATCGTCGACTGCGGCTGGGCTACCGGCGACGAGCTGTCGCGTCCCTTGGGTCATTTTACTCGGCGTGCTCTGTTTCGCCGTTGCCTCTCGTATCAGTCTTACATCTTTGCGGGAAAGGCGGGAGGTGCCAAGCGACGGCTGTGGGCGGAGGTGGAGGCGGAAATCAGGCAGGCCGCCGCTCCCCCCCCCTTCGCGTTCGCGAGTTGCCGGCGCCTGGGCGACCCAGTGGCGATTGCTTCCGACGCTTCAGTTGCAGGTCTTCTGGGTCACGGAGGCTTCGGAGTCACGGAGCTCGAGAGGGACCCAGAGGCCGTGGAACATGCCATGGCCCAGAGCGAGCGGTGGAGGTGCGGCGTCAGCTCGGCTATCTCGGCGCGGCCATCGGCGCTTGGGCTTCGGGCCCCTCGAGTGCCTCGCGCCCCGGGCTCGGGCGGCCTGGTCGACCACTTGGCCAGTGGCCAGCCTCGAACCGCTCCCCCGCAGGCAGGGGCCAGCCGCCGTCGCGGCACCGCGGACTTCGTCTCAGTGCCCGAGGAGCTGGTCGGCGACGAGCGGGCGCGGAAGTTTCTCTTCAGCGGGCGGTTCAGACGGCCAGAGGACATCAGAATCATGACCCTCGAGGCTCGCGCGGCCCTGATGGGGGCCTGGCATCGCCTGCGCGCAGTCGGGCGCTTTCACCGGCGCCACTTGATGCTGATCGACAACTCGGGCCATGTCTTGGTCATGGGAAAAGGTCTGTCAGGATCTGTCACAGTCAGCCGTCAGCTTCGTCTGCTCGCAGCCCTGTCCATATTCTCAGGGTCCACTCTTCATCGGTCGTTGGATTCCCTCGGAGTGGCAGCCAGGGGGCACTCCGTCTCGCATAGCATCGGCTCAAGTATCTGATCCGCAAGGCGATCCTCGGCACGCCTGCTACTCTGAGGCCTCCAAGCAGCGGGGGGCCGCCGAGGCCCTGCGGGCCCAAGATGACGAGGTACTCCTCGTGGACCGGGCAAACAGCTCCGTGGCGGGCTTGCGCGGGCTCGGCGGCCTCCCCGTCGACGGCCCTCGCCCAGGCGGCGCGGCCCATGCCGTGCGCTGGCAGCCTCGCTGCATCAGTGGCGCGCCAGGGTCGACGACGGCCATCAGTTCGAGTGACAGCGCCTTCTTCTTCGGCGAGCAGCAGCGAAGGCGCCCTCGACATCGCGGGCGTCGGCGGCGGCGAAGTTGCAGGCCCAGGCAGCTCACCGGCAGCGGGTGCGTGACTTCAAGAAGGAGCCGGCGCAGACGGCGCTGCAATGCGAGAAGGTTGGGCACCGCGCCATGGGGGAACTTCCAGCGCGAGCGGGGCGAGTTCCGCCAGCGGCGCCAGGATTGGGGGGGAACCCCCAGACGAACACCATGGCGCATCTCTACCTCGATCGTTGCGCTGTTCTTCGCAGGCTATAGCCACGACCGCGCCGACAAGCTGCGCGCCGCTCTCCGGCACTTCCCCCCGCAGGCGGGGATTGGCGACCACGGGGAGCTGGAGGCCGCCTCCGCCGCCATGAAGGGGCGCCGCCGCCTTGGCCACGGGCAGACGCGGGCCCCTCTTCCGAAGCCGCGGGTGCTCGCCGCTGCGGCGTTGGCCGTCCACTGGGGGTGGCTGGACATGGCGGTCGCGTTGCGCCTGAGCTGGGGCGCCTACTTGCGCCGCCGGCGCGCCTGGGTGGTCAGGCGCTGAAAGCGGCGGGGGCTTGGGCGCTCCGGCTCAACCCCGAGGAGCAGCCGCAGCCGCAGCGGAGCAAGGCCGGCCAGTGCGACGAGAGCGCCACCCTCACGACGCCCATGTCGATGGCCATCGGACGTCGCCGCAGCTCAAGGACGCGGCCGGCCCCCAGGGTCAGGCGTGGAGCATTAACGCCTACGAGCTCGGGCGGAAGTGTCGCACGCTGTTCCGCGCTTTGGGGCACGAGTCTGCGCGCCCGCATCAGGTCCGCCACGGGGCTGCCAGCTGCGACGCAGCCGAGGGTCACCTGGCGCTGGCGGACATCCAGCATCGTCTGATGCACGCCACCGACCGGTCCAGCAAGAGATACGCCAAGCATGCCAGGTACCTGTCAGAGCTGGCCACCGCCCCCTGCCCATCCACACAAACGGGCACCAGGTGGCCGAGCGGCTGACCGAGGTGATTTCAGTGAAGGCGCAGCTGGCGCCTCCCCCAGCTTCGACGGCAACGGCCCCTTGAAGACAGGAGCCGCGCGGAAGGCGGGAGATACTGGACAAGCCACTCGCAGCGTTTCCTATTCAGTTTTGCTTCCCAGATGCCAATGTGCTCCTCGTGAAGCTCTGCGTCGTCGGAGACGCAAGCAGGTGTTTCTCGATTTGTTTCTGGGCGCAGGAGCGCGAGCAAGGATATCGAGAATCAAGGGGAGTGGGGAGTCGTGCACCTCGGTCTCGTTCACGACGACGACTTCGGCATGACGAATCCAGCATTGATCAGAGTTACCAAAGGAGGGATGTCGAGTTGCGTCGTTCGGGTTGTATTTCTCGTTTCTCCATGCTCCACCTTTTCGAATGCATCGCGTGGTTTGCACCGAAATTTGGTCTCTATCTATGGACGAAGCGAGCCCAGCGACAAAGCGAAGCAGCGGGTGCACATGGAAAACGCGACTTTGAAACATACCGAACATCCTGATGCGCCTCCAATGTGGTGTCCCCGCCACAATGGAGAGCCCCCTGACCTCGCTCATGTGGAAAGAGCCCGTCCAGGACCATCTCCCATCGCTTCATTCTTGCATAAATGTATGTACTGACTACTGCCAGCACGGGACCCGATGGAGAAAGTCTACTCGTTTTTTTGGCGCGTGTAACTTAGGACGTGCCCCCCCTGGATGTTGGAAGAACGCTGCTCGGTAAGACATGGTATCTGTTCGGCCGCGGGGCTCGGGCATGTCACGCTTCATGGCAACGCTCCACGTGGAACGGAGTGAACCCCGCTAGCTGAGCCCTACCCAATGCCCGTCTCACGTGCCCTCGCTAAGTGGCTCTTGAGTAGTGCCAACAGTATAGAACATGCTACGTGTGCACGCCCGGTAACTGAGTAGCATTGTTTTTCCCAACCATCCTGTGGTGTTGCGTCCTCGTTTTGAAGAGACAGCGCCCCGCGTTCTCCTCTCCTCTCCCCCCTCCTCCCTCCTCCTTCCTCCCACCATCATCATCGTCATCAACATCATCGTCGTCATCATCACAGTCATCACCATCATCGTCATAATCCTCGCGACCATCATCATCACCATCATCGTCATCATCATCACCTTCGCTGTTTTCATCACCATCACCCCTCGCGCGTTTCGTGGCCCCATAAAGGAGCTCCACCGAAGGCCCCAGCGCCGCCGCCCGCATGCGTCCTGCACACACATTTCGGCACCCCCTCTCACACGCTTCGTGGCCCCATACGGAGCTCCACCGAAGGTCCCAGTGGGCGCGTCCGCATGCGTTCTGCACACCCATATCGGCACACCCCTCACACGCTTCGTGGCCCCATAGGGAGCTCCACCGAAGGTCCCAGTGGGTGTGCCCGCATGCGTCCCGCACACCCATATCGGCACACCCATCACACGCTTCGTGGCCCTTTAGGGAGCTCCACCGAAGGTTCCAGTGGGTGTGCCCGCATGCGCCCCGCACACCCATCTCGGCACACCCCTCACACGCTTCGCGGCCCCATAGGGGGCTCCACCGAAGGCCCCAGAGCCGCCGCCCGCATGCGTCCCGCGCACCCATTTCGACACACCCCTCACACGTTTCGTGGCCCCATAGGGAGCTCCGCCGAAGGTCCCAGTGCTGCCCGCATGCGTCCCGCACACCCATTTCGGCACACCCCTGCACGTTTCGTGGCCCCATAGGGAGCTCCACCGAAGGTTCCAGTGGGTGTGCCCGCATGCGCCCCGCACACCCATTTCGGCACACCCCTCACACGTTTCGTAGCCCCATAGGGAGCTCCACCGGAGGTCCCAGTGGGTGCGCCCGCATGCGTCCCGCACACCCATTTCGGCACACCCCTCAGACGCTTCCTGGCCCCATACGGAGCTCCACCGAAGGTCCCAGTGGGTGTGCCCGCGTGCGTCCCACACGCCCATTTCGGCACACCCTTCGCACGTTTCGTGGCCCCATAGGGAGCTCCACCGAAGGTCCCAGTGGGTGTGCCCGCTTGCGTCCCGCACACCCATTTCTACACACCCCTCACACGTTTCGTGGCCCCATACGGAGCTCCACCGAAGGTCCCAGCGGGTGTGCCCGCATGCGCCCCGCACACCGATTTCGGCACACCCGTCACGCGCTTCGTGGCCCCAAACGGAGCTCCACCGAAGGTCCCAGTGGGTGTGCCCGCATGCGTCCCGCACACCCATTTCGGCACACCCCTCACACGCTTCGTGGCCCCATACGGAGCTCCACCGAAGGTCCCAGTGGGTGTGCCCGCATGCGTCCCGCACACCCATATCGGCACACCCTTCACACGCTTCGTGGCCCCATACGGAGCTCCACCGAAGGTCCCAGCGGGTGTGCCCGCATGCGCCCCGCACACCCATTTTGGGACACCCCTCGCACGTTTCGTGGCCCCATAGAGGCTCCACCGAAGGCGTTCTC